CCACCCTGGACCTGCCCTGGACTCACCCCAGTTGGAGTGGACCAGCTCTGTACGAGCCAGCACCCATGTGCACAGCCCCAACCCCATCCTGCCCCACACCTGCTCTGGACCTGCTTGCCCACGATGGGCAGCAGAGGTGGCCAGGCAGAGGCTGCTGCTGGGTGCGGGGGGGAAAGTGGCCCCTGGCCTTCGCTGCTGCCAGTCCCTTCTTGATGAAGCCACCTGGAGCCTGCACCCAGGCTGCCCTGCGGCTTCTCTCCACTGCCCCATTGGGCGGCCTGGAGGCGGCACTGGTGGTGCTTGAGATGGTGGAGAGGGAACCCACACAGGGCAGACTCCAGGCAGGTGCAGCAAGAAGGGCCTGGTAGTGGCGAGAGGGGGGGGCCACGTTTCTCCTGCGCCCATGCAGTAACTTCTGCGTGGCCACCACCACCGTTCATTGGGGGTGGCCAGATTTGGAGCAGGTGCAGGGCGGGCCAGGGTCGGGGCTGTGCACGTGCATCCTGGCTGGTCCAGAGCTGGACTGCTCTAATCGGGGTAGGTTGGGCCAGGGCTGGGGCTGTGCATGTGGGTCCCTGTCAGGGCTCCCTGGGGCCAGGGCTGGCTGTGGCAGTGGCAGTCGGAAGGAGCTGCCGCCGCCTGGGCTGACTAGAAATGGAGTCCAGCCGCAGAGCTGTCCCAGCCCTGCTGCACACCCAGGGGCGGCAGGATGCACCACGGGCCAGACAGCGCTTGGGCCAGGTGGGACTGAGGGACCCGCCATGGGACAGGCAAATTCCCTTCGTGGGCTGGATCCTGCCCATGGGCCAGATTTTGCCCACCCCTGTTGTTAATACAAAGTCTTGGATCATTTTTTTTTCTACTGACTGTCTCATATATTCCTACTTTGTATGTCAGCTGTGTTTGGGTGGAAAATTAAGAGAAAAACTCCTAAGGAAAAAAATGGGCATTTTGTTCAAAACGTTAAATTTGTTTAACTCTGTGTGCAGTCCTCCCTGCGTTTTATTTTTTTGTGTATATTTTAGATGACAAGGTTAGTGTCAGGAGCATTCACAACAGTAATAGATTCTCAGTGTGACCGGCAGCGGCCACTTTTGTATGTCAAGAGAAGCAAAAAAGGGGCCTCCAGTCCAATTCTTTTGAAATTCTTTGAGTTTCCTTTTAAACAAATATTGCAGAATTTTTTCAGGTAAAGCAAACTTTGAATTTGGAAATCAGAATAGTCCCATCCAAATCCAGGTTGTAACTCTTATCCCCACGGGCGACAAAAAGGTACCCAGGGACTCGTGTCCCATCACCTCTCAGATTTGTAAGTCTTGGTCATGACACTTTTTGCAAAGAGGAATCTAGAAAAGTCTGTGCTTTTTCTGGGCGATTCAGAAGGACACTAAAAGGGCAAAATTAACCTAATACACGTTTCAAAGGGTTCACCTGTCTGCAAAATTGATGAAGCGAGTTAGTTTTACTTAGTCCAGCACCTGCACAAAGTAAATGCCCGTGATGAATAAACGGGATGGACATGTCTAGAGGACTGTTCGTGACTGGATCATTCAGTTGACCACCTTATATTGGAGAAAGTGGTTCTTAATCGCCACCCGCTCTGATCACTGTATGCAGAAGTACATCTACATTGGAGCCCACAGGACAACATATAGATAGATGCCTGAGTTAGCTTTAAAACAAATAACTTGGGCAAAGCAGAGAAAAACTGGGTAAACTAGCCCACATGCTAGACAGCTCCTGGTGCCCATTTACAGCTAGCTGTGGTATCTCCATACTCCACTAAAGTCTGCTGTGTAGACTAGAGACCCTAAGAAGCAAATCAGACTTCCTGAATAAAACAAGCTCAGCTGGTGATATCTGTGCATTATTGAGTTTGTGGAAAAAGCGCTTTGGGAATTGATCCAAAGCCCGTTGAAGCTCATGGAGACTCCATCACCTCCCATGGTGGAGGGCTTTTGTAATCCGGGCCTTATTTTAAAAGCATTTAAAATCTCCACGCTGAATTGTCTGCTTCCCTATTTCTGGTTCCTTCCTAGCTGGCAGCCGCTCCAGTTCTCCTGGCAAGCTCTTGGGAAGCACCTACGGTGGATTGACCAGTGGAGCATCCAGAGTCCCACCAGTGCCATCGTCCGCAGAAAAGCGCAGCAAGATCCCTCGAAGCCAAGGATGCAGCCGAGAGACGAGCCCCAACAGAATAGGACTAGGTAAGCCCTTTCACCAAGGTGACGCATCAGTCCGTGTTCCTGGGGGAAGGCTGTTCACGGTAACAAGGAAAGCGGAGGACTGGGTTCTCCTATCCCAGGGTTTTCAGTTCTTCAGCTGTGGAATTGCTGTCAACTTGAGAAATATTATTAACAATTGCAGCTTGAGGAAAGTCTGCTTTTTTACCGTGCTGGCCTGTGGTTTCAAAGCAAGTCAAAAGAGTAGATGGTAGCTCCTGTTTGAAACCACTGCATCTACTTTGCTCTTTCTGGATCAGGTAAAAGAAAGCAGAAAAGTCCACCACTGCAGGAATGGTACGTCACACTCGGTGCCCCAACGCCCGTTCCCATGAGAAGCCGAGGAATTCCCGTGATGTGCTTAATGCTCTCAGCTCTGACTGAGGCCTGGGGAATATGACAGTCCTCAGCACCTTGCAGGATTGGGAACACGTTTTAGAAACTTTGCAAATATCTGAGCCCCTGATTAGTTCACATCCTAGGTTCACGAGCTAATTATTTTGCTCCCACATATTTGTGCCTGTTGGGTAAATATCACATACAGATTTTTGTTTCCCAGTTTACAGCAATTTCTCTAATGCTGCTTCAATCAGCAGAACGTGTGCTTTCCCAGATGCTTGCAAACACATCTGTTCTTCTGAGTGAAAGCAGAAATGATTCCCTCTTTCTCTCTCTTCCTTTTTGCGGACAGGCAAAAGCTATATTTAACTTTGAGAAAAAAGTGAATGTTTTCAGATGTTAACTGTAGTTTCCATAGGAAAGGAACACCTTGGAAATGTATTATTTTTTAAATTAATGAATAGCGCTTAGAGGAATGTGCATATGCAGACACAGTTCTAGTCCCTTATGAATGGGAGCTATTGCCATTGACTTACGTGGGCTAGTATTTTATCTGTTATATTTTAAATTAAGTCTCCAATTTAGCTTACGTTATGTCAGATGACAATCGAAGCACCTTTTAATTTCCATATTTAGTTGAAAAGAGCTCGGAAGAGCCCTGTGAGCATATACTGAGTTTCATGCTATATTGTTTGCTGACAGTATTTTGCAGATTTCAAATTTCTTCTCCTCTGGCCTTGCCTATTTTAATTACCTGTATATGACTATATTGTGCTCTTCTGTTTGTTGTCATCAAAATCTAAGCTGCCACCTGTTGGAATTAATTAGCCAGCTGTTGCTTGGCAAGCTAGCATCGTCCTTGAAAATGAAATGAAGTGTGATGCATGGTGCTGTCATGTTCGTGGGTCTATGCTGGATAATCGCATTACGTGAACTGATTTGAAGGTGTCTTAATATCGGAAAGGAATTTATTTTACATAAATCCTCACTCTTGGGTTGTCTGCTTTCAGGTAAATTATGGAGAATTCCTATGAACATGTCATTTCTATCCCACCACTGCAATGACACAAATACCAGGGCTTGTTCCTGGGGGATGGGTGAACCCTGTCAAATCTGTCAGTCTGTTTTTTCTGCCAGGATTGCTGACTGCAGCCTGTTCTTTTGAGCAGTTGTTCAAATTGGGGTGCTTTTGATCTTGTGTGTTAGTTTAATACCCAAAGGCAGACATTCTGCATCTTTATTGGACCTGAAAACTTGGGCAGCATATAAAGTGATAACATTTGCCTGGATGGACCTATGTTTGGAAAGCCACACTTTCTAGTTCCTGAAGTCGTCTGGCCAGTGTTTTTCCAGCGATTTAATTTCCCTGTCATTTGGCTGTTAAAATGATTTTTATAATTTACTTTGCATCGACAGCTTTGATTTCTGCCTCTCCATCATTCATCCAGTCATCCCTGTCCATCCATACTTCCTAAGTTGATTGATACACCTTCTCCGAATCCGACTTTTCCAGGTCCCTGAGCTCCTCTGTATTGCTAAGCACAACCGCAGCTGCGTTGGCTGCAGTGGGACTGTTATGTTGCATCCATACCTGCAGTGCTGAGTAGGAGCCTTAGGTCTGAGGATGCTGTCAGCTAGTGGCAATTGGCTTGATTTTTAAGTGTGTGAAGCTCTTGCAGTCCTGGGAGCGTTGGTCATCAGGACTCTGGGATTATATGTATGGCTCAGCTCCTGACTCATGAGTGAGCAATTTTAGGCCAAGTTTCGATGAGCCTCTGCTCTGTCTCCATCTTTGCATGGATGGCACAAGGGGCTAGCTTGCTCTGAGACCAGGGGTAAGGCAAAGCTGATTGTGCCCTATAGCCCACCTCCCAGAGAGAGCACAGAATCAGCCATCGCCTTCCCAGGGTTTCCCCTTTTCTTCCCACCTCGGGTGTGTTACAAGGCATGTTCCTCCCGTTTGCTGGAAAACTGTGGCTGGCTTCCTGCCTCTTGCAGCTGCGGTGCTTCCTGGAGGTCCCTCTGTGCCACCCCTGGCTGGAAGGACCATTCTAGTTGCAAAGTCGCCCTTAGCACTTCCCCCATGGATACATACCCTCTCGGGTATGATTCATGTCTATAAATGACTTTGCGATCCCCAGGTGACAGTTGCTATAAAATGGCAGGGGACTGGGCTTGCCTGCACTTCTGCAGAGCATTTGCATCCTGGTAAGCACAATGCTGATGGAGCAGGGGCTGGGGCAGTAAATACACTCTAGGAAATGACCGCCCCAAAGCATGCAGGATCATGCCTGCATTCATACCTGCTCGTGATCCTTTGGGAGCTGAGAAGCCAAATCCACATGTGCCACTCGGACTGTAGATATTCAAGGGTGCACCATTCTCCCTCAGGGCTGGCAAAGGCTGTCAGTGGCAGCGTAGTGTCCTAATACAACGTAGTGTTTTCCCAGGGGTTAGCAAAGGCCCTGCAGTTAAAGATTCAGCCCACATGCACTTGCTGCAAAGTACCAAGTGGTTTCTGACTTGGGCTGTGGCCCCTTTGCTGGAGCATAACATGCTGGTTCTTTGACTGAGCCAACAGGGCACCATGGATCTCACCCTGGGCTCTTAACCTCAACTCAATGCGACTTATCCAAGCCTCGAGGGTCTTCCCTATATCAGATGGCACAGAACCAAGTGAGATCACCTCCTACTTGGGGGGTTGATGGGAGTGAAGCCATTGCCTCCTGCAGCGCTGGTTGCCTGAGTAAAGCAATCTGGGCATGACTCGGTATCCCCATATAACCTTATAAATAGCGGAGCGAACAGCAGCCATCTCATTAAACCTTTTTAGATGCAAATGGTAAGATTTCAATGTGGAGACTGTCCCTTGAATGTCACCTTTTGCATTTTCCTGAGGGCACACAAGATCAGGTGAGCTGCTTGTGGTCCAGAGCTGGTCATTGGCACATGGGTGCCAGAAGGTGACTTTTTTTGTAATGCTTAATTTTTGTAATGCCCCAGAGTCAAAATAGCATATTCCCCCATCCATCTCTCTCTGCACCTGCCCTGTTGTTTCATCTTTTTTCATTTTACTAGGCCAGGCAGCTTTTGTGTCCAACTGACTCACTTTTGTGGCCTGTGCTTTATGGGGTGGGCTGCTGCAGCTGAATTTTCTGGCGCTTATGATTTTCTTACATCCCGTGCACTGAAAGCAAGCTGAAGGATCGTTGTGGGGTATGGATAAGATGACTTCCTCCAGTGCAGACTCCCTTCCATGTCATAACAAACCTTTAAAATACAGCCTGGCAAAAAAGGCACCTCCCTAAACAGCTGATGTCCTTACTGCGAAAATTATCCCTCTTCAAAGCAGGAGAAACCTCAGGACAGATGCCTGGGAGTTAACGATACTTTCGAGGGATCATTCCATCCATGGCACTCCTTTCTCTTTCCATTGTGTGCGTGTGTCTGTTCAGCCCATCCATACCTTCCATTCATAGGACACCCATTAAAAAGTTGGAATAGTTTTTGTCTTGTTGCTTTGATATTTGCTTGTGACTGGTTTGTGGCATCCCATCTCAGCACTCTGCTTCTGTTCACAATATCCATGAGTACAAATGCCTCCTTGCTATATGCTGGCTCCTTAATCTGTTAATGAGAGGGGACTGTGTTGTTTCATTCACGCCTGTCCCTCTTTCGAGACCTAAAATGGTCTCTTTTGGGAAAGAGACTGACAGATGAAAGATGCTTTTCATGAAAGTGCTAGTGGGGAACGAGAGCCCGTGCAAACCTCATCCATTTACATGTAAGCGTGTGACCCAAGAGTGAGCACTTCCACTTTTAGAGAACCCACTGATCCAAGTAAGTATTTTTTGCTTATAGATTAAACTTGGGAGGTTTTCTTCTTAGGTTCCTGTTGCTGCTGTTTGCCTTTCTTGAGCTGAGACTACTGTATTTTTGAATCTTAATTTCATTAACCCCATGATAGTCCTGCTCATTATAACAACACCTCTCTCCCTCGCTCAGAACTTATCCAGTTTCTGGGCCGGGTGCTGTTGTAACCAAGTCCATCAGTGGATCATGTTGTATTGTTCACCATCAAAGCTCAGAATCAGAACCATTAATTCATCAAACAGATTCGCAAGGCAGATTTTGCCAAATGGGGAGGGATTTCAGAACCGGGGATCTGGCAGTAGCTTACATCTGAATCTCTTACTCAAAATGTGAGGATCCTATTTAGTCCTTTAATACCTCAGAGGATGCTGTGAACGGTGACAGATGTGGCCTTTATCTGAGCATTTAGATATAGGTGATTGACTGACGTGGACCATCTTATTTCCAAGAAAAAAAACAACAACCCCTAAAATCCGGTCTGCTAACCTATTTATGGTTGCGTTCCATGATGCCCCTACAGAAACATTTCTCAAAGACCCGATGTTTCTGTTACCAACACTGAACTGGCGTTACGCTGGGGAGCACACAGATGACACCTTGAAGAGAATTCACACTGGGCCGTGAAAACAGCTCTAATTCTGCTGCGAGGGGAGGACAGAGTAGGGGATGGCACTGCAGTGTCTGCATCTCTGCACCTTGTAACCCACATGAAAGCTGGTGACTCTGATTTGAGGCCAGGCAGGGTGGATAACCCTATAAAGGCCTTTCCTAGCTACTCACCTAAAAGTAGTTGCTCCCTCTTCTGAAGATAGCACATTGAACAGACCCCACATAGTCAACAGATGACTCAAGGTCAACCAACAACTCATGCATTCAGTTTTTTCACTTTATTACATGTACAGATGTGATAACAAAGCAATTCTTTTCTAATGTTTCTTTTATGACTTAGTGCACATGGCTGCTATAGCCAAAGAAAGCAGAGCTTATAGAACAATTCTGGAGTTGCATTTAAATTTATGAATTGGATTATAAGCTCTAGATATATAGATGTTATAGGTCTGTGATAACAAGTGACCCGAGAAGGGCCTTCCTGTCCCATGGTCTTGAAAAGAGGCACTTTTGTTGCTAATTTAAGAGGTATAAACCTCAAATTATTCAACTATTTATACAAAATGAATAGGTTAAGTCTTCCAAAAGCTCAGTCCCACAATTCTTATTCAGGCAGAATTCCCACTGGCTTTTGACCTCTGTGATGTCAATGGAGGGATTATAAAATGAACAGCAAACTTACCAGTGGAACTAAGGATATGTCTACCACAATGTATAGGGTTGACCTCGAGGCCATCCTCAACCAGGCTGAGCCACATGATCTGTCCTTCCTCCTTGGTATCATATCTTCTCTTTTGCCCCAAACTCTCTCTCTTTTTTTTGTGTAAGGCTGCTTTCTGGAACACAGTCCTGACATATCCCTGGATCCCTTGTGGAGCCCTGCGAGGAACTGGTCTGTGGTCAACTTGTCCCGTTCTTGTCTTTGTTTATGGGCAATAGAGACAAGAAGTGGGGTGTAGGAGGAGTGGATGATTGGAAGAGGGAATCATGGGATTACCACTGCCAGACATCTTGTTTTTAAGTCCCACAATTCGTGTGTAAGCTCCAACCGCACTGCATCAAGGGGAGGACCAGGAGGTAATCAGGGTGCCTTGACCTCCTACACCGCAGGTCAGCAGTACCTGCTGGAGGTGAAACATTTGCAGTATAAATGGCTGGCATCTTTGGGCTTGAGGATGACCTAAATGTTGACCCTAACCATTAGTGTAAAGGGCATGGTAAAGATGCATCTATTGGGTGCATCTCTACTCACCTTCTACCTGACTTCAGACTAATACAGTTAGCTACCGGTCTGTATTAGTGCAGACATCACTTTGAATAAGAATCCAGCTCAGTGGGAGTTTTGTTGGAATAAACCATACAGAGTAAGACCCTTGGTGAAGTGTATTTCTGGCTTCAGGGATATTTGGGGAATAAAAGTTAGGTGACTTCCAGTAAAAAGGCAGAAAACTTAAATTCCTGCTATCTTAAAATTAAAACTGCTTTGTAACCCTGCCTACCAGTATTTAAGAACGAAGAATTCTACTCTCAATATCTGTACTGGGGAGGTGTATCTTTGTAAATCGGTACAATACACTGTTCTGGTTTTCCCCAAGAAATTTGATCATGACAACACTATCCTTGCCAGAGCCCAACATGTATAGAAACGGCTTTCTCTTTTGCGAGTACACTTTAAACATTCTGACCATGTTACAAGCACTTCCTCCTTTTTTTTCTAAAAGGCTTTTTTTTGGGAGGGTTTTTTTTTGCTTAATTAGAAGATAAAGCCTTCCAGAAAGGTTTCTTTTCGCCTCGACTGTTTTGCATGCTTCTGTATCCATAGAGCTCAGCCTCTCTGTTTGAGATGAATGTAGGTCTCCAGCTCGACTCAAATAACAAAACTCGGATAGCAGGAGAGGAAATCAGACTGCCAGCCAGACACTCAAGGGTGCTGAAACGTCACATTTAAGCCACGTCTTGGCACTGAACTCAGTGGGTCTGGCCGCTGCAGATAATCATTACTAATGTGATAATGACCTTAACTAACAGAAATGTGACTTGACTTTATGAGCTGTCTGTCCTCATTAAACTTGTTCACCTTCTTTGAAACTCTCCATGCTGCATGCTAGCACGGAGCAGCCGTATCCCCCGACCCAGCATGAGTCAGGGGTGCAGCCGCGATACCAGCCGTGAGAGCAGTCGAGATACAAGCCCTGCTCGGGGCTTCCCTCCGCTTGGTGAGTACACGTAGGCATTGGAGATCTAAGGGTCGATTTTCTTTTTTTTCCCTTTTTCCCCTTTCTGAGACACTGCCAGGTGGAATGAGCTTGCTTCCCTTCTCTGTTTTACTTCCTCGCACTCCCCCTTTCTGACCCCACTTCCCTTCTGTTTTCTTCTGCATGCTTGAATTCTGGGTCTCCAAAGTTTTTTCTTTTAGTAGGAAAAGACCTGCACATCTGCGGTAATTTCCAGTTGCTTTAAAAGCTGAGATGCACAGAGCTCCCCTTCAGATTGTGGCAGTTTTGATGGGTAGCTATGAAAGCAATCCCACACACGCAGCGCAGAGGGTGGGGAGCAGTGCCACAAAGCCTTCTTCAAAGGGGCCCGGATTATGCACACACTGATTTTGTCTTAACGCTAAGTACAGTCACAGGAATGACAGTTTAACACTAAATCCCAGTCAAGAGATCCAAGTTCTTTGCATGGGAAGGTTTTACGCACTGTTTAATTGCTAATTAATACGCTAGATCTGCCGTTCCAAAGTGTATTCTCCTTGTGTCTAGAGCATCCTGAAATCCCTGAAAGGACGAGGTCTGACATTTTGCCGTGTCATTTGGCTTTGCACACAGAGGGCGAATATAAAAAAAAAAAAAGAAAAAAATAAATCTCAATTAATGGTTTATGAGAGATTCTTGTTCTGCATGGGGCTGAAACAGGGCAGTTAATGTTTCTGATCAAATGCCATATCACCTTCAACCAAACACATTCTTTGCTGTGCAAAAGCTTTGTCTGTCATCTCAGAAGTAATAAAATACAGTGGATCTCTGGGGCCTCCGTTTGCCTAGCGGTTTCAGAATCGTGTATCTCGTGTTCAGAATGGGGAAAGAAACTCTGCAGAGCTCAGTCTGACGGTGTTGGGATGTAGAAAGACTGCAGGGTCTGGGAAGATGAAACTAATATGAAATAATGTATGTGCCTTGCATAAAAACTTCGGTTTAACTTAACTTTTAATTTCCAGAACGGGAAGTAAAGTTGTATAAAGCAAATGAATTGAAGTGTGCATTGATAATGCCTTCCAGTCAGGCCGAGAGGCAAAGCGATCCTCTGTTTCTCAACTCTGACAGACTTCTCTTCCTGTGTATGCCACTGTTGGGATGGTCTTATGTATCCGATTGAAATGAAAATCTAAAGTCAAGATTTGCAGAGTATAATAGGGGTAAATTTGCCCAGTGTTAGGAAGACAGTGCCTTTGGACAGTGAGCACTGCTGGAGGGAGGGGGGTGTATTTAAATCGAGGATATTAAATTTACTATTTGACTAACTTGTTGCTCTTGTTGATGGAACTTTTCCTTGCTATTTCATTTTTATTCTCAATAGAAGCGGTGCTGCTATTCTTGGTTGTAATAATTCATCTTACACTATTTGTGCACAGCTTGATCCAGTCCCCAGTACAGTCAATGGAAGGACTCGCATTGCCATTGTCTCTTCATCCATTTGAAATCAGAAACAAAATTGTCATTGACTTGCCTGTAAATAGAAGCAAAACCTGAAATTTATCCGGAAAAGGGGATCCCGTCAGCAGTATCATTAGGGAATTTTCTTCCTCATATTTTGCCTTGTTCATCTGAACAAGGATGCTTTAGCATTCTTTTAAAAACTTTGGGATAGTTTTTCATTAGATAGCACCGATATATTTTTTTAGTTTGAAAAATGAAAAGAAAAATATTTGGAAATGTTTTTTTATGGAACTGAGATGATTGTGGGTGAAACCTGTCCTAAAAGTATATGACCCAGTCCAGCCACCCCTATTCAACCCAGTAGTTCCTACTCAGACTCTTTAAATCATTGGGGCTGCACATGGGAGGAAGATGTAGGATTAGCCATTAAAAAGTTGGGAGATGGGGAACGGGGACCCAGTTTTTTGAAAACCATTCTCAAGTTGGCTGTGAACTTTAAAGTTCCAGATAACCCGATGGAACAACTGTTGAAAGAGCCCATTATTAAAGTCATTGGCATTTCTCTTGTCTTTAGTAGGCTTTGGCTCAAATGCAGATGTCCCCTAGCTGAGATCAGAATGGGGTTTATTTTCTGACCTTCTGCCCCAGCGTTTTGATCGCTTGGGTATTTTCTCATCACGTTAATTTGGAAGTCTAGGATGTGATTCCGGAAGTGTGGCAGGAAGTTTCCTGGGGCATCTATGCAGGATGAGCGCAGCAGGTGTGCTGGCATCGGCATAGCTACCCCTTGAACGCGGAGTCTGGTACTGATCTGTTTTGCTTTCTTGATGTGCCTCAAAGCACAAAATCCTCAGTTCTCTTTTTCCAGCAGAATCTTAATTGTGGGGGGAAAAGGGGCTGAGGGAGCGAGACCTCAAGCAGAGTACAGCATATGGTGCTCACAGCTTAAAGGATCACCGTTTGATTTATCAATGAAGCATGTTTGATTATGGAGTCATTAAGAAAGGATTAGAAGGAGCGGCTGTGTCTTTACCTCTTTTATATAGTTACTTTTCTACCCTTGGCTGCATCCTCTTTGAATGAAGCTGTTTTGGTTAAACGTACAAATTGGAGGATACGCAGTAGCGATTTGTCAGTCCTCAATGGGTTTCATGCTATACATTTTCATCTTAGCGAGCAAGCATTGTTTGAAATACTGGCTCAGGGGCCTTGCTAGAAAGATGAATACCGTGGGCCAGATTTTCATTCTCAGCTCTACTGAATTCAGATAAGCTGTGCCTGTTTACAGCAGTTGAAGATTTGGCCCACCATTGATTATTGCATCATAGAATAACAAATATTTACAATGTTTTTGATGAGCTGTTAATGTAAAATGCACTGTTGGATATAATATCTAGAGGATTATCATGTCTGAGTGGATTTTGTTATACCATTATGGGAAAAACATTTCATAGTTTCTAGGGTCGGAAAGGACCTGAACAGATCATCAAGTCCGACCCCCTGCCCTGGGCAGGAACGAGTGCAGGGATCACAGTACCCCAGCCAGATATCTATTCACCCTCCTCTTGAAGACCCCCAAAGTAGGAGAGAGCACCTAAAAATTTAAAAGTGTAATAAGAAACCAGCTTAATTGTGATACAGCCAACATATATTTGTCTCCTTGTTTTTTCATTGAAAAAAACCCTCCATTATAAATTGGAAACTGTATAGCCCAGCCGGTGGGTTTTTATGAATCCAATTAATGTTTTCGTTCACACCGTAAGGTCATGTGGTTTTACTCAGTACAGTGCATTTTTGCTCACCTGGGTATGGATTAACTTGTTTAATACTGTACAATAACTCATTTGCATTTAATAATATTGTGGTCATTATCATCAGAATAAATCCCTGTTCCTGCCAGCTGCTCGGTGGGACATCCATGATGCCAGCAGGGCTCAGGCTCTCGGTACTGAACAACTTACAGGATTGGGATCCAAGCTGGAAGTGCTGAAGTTAAGGGTCCCTCTGTGGTGGGGAGTGGGACGCCTTGCACAAATGCCATCTTTTTTCCTAGTTCAGGCACTGGACTCTGTGCTGAGATTCACGGGGACACGCGTGTCTGCCGGAAATGACCTAGTTGCTGAGTAGCGTCTGCTCGTTGGCCCTGCAGACCTTACCTGTGTGAGTCCTTCTTGATGGCGGTGGGCTTGTCCCCTGGAAGAAATGCAAGTGGTCTGAGCTTGATTGTTAAAAAGCTGCAGTGCCAACCCTGGAAACATTTGGCCAACTTCTCACTGGTGTGAGACATGGAGGGGTTGTGTGTTTTTTTTTTTTTGATTGTTCTCATTTCAGTGACTTTGTAATGTTAAATTTTGCATTGACAGCAGTTTTTTAGTTAAATAGGGGGAACCCTGCCCCCCCCCCAACCTTGTCTGGATTCTTCTCCTGTGCACCCTTGCCAAAGTATTGAATTTTATTTAAAAAAATAAAATAAAAAGAGCCAGTCCTCTTCACCTGAAGTTTGACTTTCAGCAGGACGGTTCTGGTGGATCGCTCATACAAGCAGGGTACAGAACCAGCGTTTCTACCCTCAGCTGTTTTCAAGTTAGGAGAGAGCACAGCATTAATGGCTCAGCGTAGGGCAAAACACAACAAACGCCCAATTCAGAAACAACCAAACCAAATCTTCAGATGCAGCTCAATGTTGGGCTGAATCCA